AGGAGCTCCGTTGCTGGAAACTCAGAACTACTTCACGCCCACAGCGAGTGTGAGCTCAGGGATGCCCGATTTTCAGAGCCGCAGCTTGTTCAGACGGTTCATTTAAGAGTTGAAAGGCGAAAGTAACATTTCGACATTTATAGCCCCCTGCAGGTTTTATTTTACCAATTTATAAAAACTTTTGCAAATTGGGTGAAAAACTTACACAATACATCTGGACCTAAGCTCCTTTCAAACCTAATTCTAATCTCTTAACTATTGGAATATGTGCTCAGAAGGAAATGTCAAGAAATCTTTAATTTAGTTCTAAAATTCACTTTAAGAGTCTGAATTATTTTAAGCTTTCAAATGGGTTTTGAAGCAGCTCTTGTTTCTTTAACAATATTGGCGTCTTAGTTCTTCCAGGCTTCTTAAATCATTTTGCACTCCTCTATTAGAGGTACAGCTGGAAATGAGTATGAATGTACATAATCTGTTTATATTGAGCTAGTATGAGTCACAAGCTTTTAATGTTCCTGCTCAGAAGATGGGATGGGATCTTGAATGACCAGAGTCAGGACCTCTTTTCAGCTTCCCATCCTCAGTTCAATAACTCCCACAGCGCAGAGACACCTCTCTCCATGCCGCTCCTCTTCAGAGAGGAGACCCACCTACTGGTCTACCTACAGCACATGCATCTGGATTTTCTGGATGTCCTGGATTTCCTTGGAAGTCTCCCAAGGTCTCTTCACTTGTGTAGCTTGCGAGAAGGTCAGGCCATGGCTGGTCACATACAGTAGAAGTATCCATTCTGAATCCAAGTCCTTACCTAGTGCGTTTCTGTTATTCCGGGCAACGCTCGGGAGAAAAAGAAAAGTTACAGTTTATTATTAATTCTGTTTTAGACTTGTCTGCCGGTCTTAATGTATTTGATAAGGACATGCATCGGTGGGGTGGCTTGGCCTAGTGCCGACACGCATCACAGCACATTCACCCTTTGACATGGCAGGAGCTGCCACAGGCGAATCTGACAGCTCCTGAGTGTCGGTTTATCTCCTCTTCTACACCTGACACAGTGTGGTGCTCATCCTGGCTCTTCTGTGCTCTTAGGGGGCTGAAACGTGTCTGTCTCAGGGCATGAGAAAGATTTGCCACAGCCTCAGGAACAACTTCTCCCCCCCTGTCAGGATTTCTGTGCAATTACATTTCTTGTGCAGCTGTCATTAGGCAGCAAGATCAAAAGCACTGCTGGATAAGAGTGTGATCTCTGCAGAATGTGAAGTGTTGTAAATTACGTGTGAGACGCTTCACCTTCTGAGAGGCAAGGCTGCGTCCATTATCAGCGGTTTTACAGCCCAGACACATCAAACCACAAACTGTAAGCTAGTTTTCCATTTGGAAAGATGCCCATTCCTTTACCCTGTTCAGCTGTTACAAAAGCGCTGTTTCTTGAAACTTTAAAGTATCATGTGTCAGGTGAATACAGCATTGGCTGTGTTGCTGTTGTTACAATCTCTCTTGATAACGGAGCTAAAACATGGACATTTAACATTGTGTTTCAGCCTGCAGTAATACATCATTAGTCTAGATGACTTGAGTCCAAGTTTAAATGTGCAATATTTATTTTTGCACCTGTATATAAATGGTATAATATAAAAAAATTAGGCTGTTCAATGGAGACATTTTTCTTAGGTCTTTCCTACGAGATAACCGTATCACTATATTTGCACGATATAAAGAGTTATTTTCAAGTTGAAAAATCAACCCTTTCTTGTTAATTGTTTCTGAATCAGTTGCATAGGATTGTGGCATTTTCTCATTATTTCCTTCTCTAACATAGACTCTGTTCTTGGAAGCCTTCTGATGGCAAAAGTTGAGGTGCATCTCCAGTCCTGGTTTCTTCCTCGTATTTCACAGTCGTCTAAGGATTTTGTATGTTTTCGCCAGGTTCCCTCTGAGCAATTTTGGCCTGTTGAGTGAGAATTCCTCTTATTTCAAAGAAGAGCTGAACCGTACCAGCAGTTATACTAACGTATTTCACACAGGCCCCTGGAGACAGAGTCTCAGCACCAAGCCACAGTCCTGTCTGGACCAATCACCAGTCACTCTGTACAGAATAACACCAAAACATGTTGTTCTTGCCTGCTAAAATATCAACTCTGAAGGCTGTTGTTAGAGAGGATAGTACATCAATGGTCTAGTTTAAATATTCCTGTACTGGAGAGCACTTCATCATCTGGCAGTGTTCTCAGGTAGAAGTAGCAAAATACATTTGGGTGTGCAAGCAGGATATGTCTCGCAGACCCTGGGTTTAATTCCTGATTTGGGGTGCTATCCGCGTGTTCGTGTGTATTTCCTCCATGTTCTCCGGTTTCCTCCCACTGTCCAAAGAGATGGTGGTTAATTATCTTCTGGGAGACCTGGCCCTGGTGTGTGCGTTGGTGTGCCCTGTGATGGACTGGTGTCCTGTCCAGGGTGTACCCTGCCTTCTGCTCGTTGCTATCCAGGTTAGGCTCCAGCTCCCCCGCGACCCTGCATCGGAAGAAGCATCTAGGAAATGGGTGTCTGTATGTTTTGCACAGAGCAGTGTTTGTTCTACCAAGGCCACGGCAATCATAGAAAGAACATCAAGCAGGGAGCTGCGCCAGCACGCGCAGGCTGCCAAGGAACACGTCAAGGTTTACTCCTGCTGAACAGAGAAAAAAAGAAACACAACGTTTCAGCTGTGGAGCCTTCTTCAGCTGACGACGGCTCCAGAGCCGGTGGTCTTCATTTCTTCTCTTTTCAGCCGGGAATAAGCCTTCGCAGAAAGAACATGCTCACTTGCCCCCTTTCCGCTCGCCGCTGAGCTGGCTGCGCCCAAGGGGGTCTTCGGTCCTGACGTGGGTCTTGCCTCCGCAGTTTCCGGAACTTCGACCTGGAGGAGTCTGGGAAGTGCGCGGGTGACTGGCTGCTGCTGGGGCCCACCTGGAGGGAGGAGTACCGCGTGTGCGGGTCGCTCATCCCGCCTCCCTTCATTTCCACCCGCGGCCACGTCTGGCTCCACTTCCACTCCGCCTCCGCCTCTTCCGGCCAGGCCCAGGGCTTCCGCCTCTCGTACATCCGGGGTGAGTGCCGGGAGATCCCCCAGACCCGTCCCCGCCTCTTCCGGTGGCTTTGCGAGGAAACGCGCCTGAGATCTGGGCTGCGAACTGCAGAGATCATCCAGAGTCTTTTCAGCTTTTTGAGGCTTGGCGTGACGGCGGCAGATTCAAAAGCTGCCGCCACCACAGCAGAGCTCAGCGAGTAAGAAAGCAGCACAGCACAGAGAAACAGGAGTGTCAAAGTAGAGGGAGCCCCACAGTGTGTGAGCTGGAGACCCATCTCCTGAGGCGTGCAGGAGCTGTGCCCAGTGAAAATCGGGGAACACAGCAGTGTCAGTGCTGTAGAAGATCACCCAGGATCCACATCTCATTCAATCTGAAATAAGCACGTTCGCCTAAAAGGCAGCACGATGCTTGTGAAGTCTACAGATTGTGATAACCGCAGGCTGTGCAGCAGGTACATGGAAAACGCAGTGTAAGTCTCATTTTAGTTCACTACATATAACCTAGGGAACCCTAAAATACTACAACTACAAGATATTTCTGCCTTTTTTTTAAATTGCAATGCCTTTTCTAAAACAGATGTTGTTAGTGATGGTCTTTTAAACATGAATTTGTCTTATTCATCTTATCTCTCTTATCCATAGTTTCCAGTGTTTCTGAAAAGCGTTTCTCTTGGGTTTGTGCAAGTGTGGTATTGGATCTGCTGTCTTTGTTTCTTTCTCTTCTCTATGGAGAAGGTAGAATTGCACGTGGATTACACTGAAGTTTCTAACGATCAGAGCGCGTTCCTCGTACCTCCAGGAGGATCACGACGAGTCTGGTGGTTTGGGATCGATGGCATTTTGAGGGAATTTTGATAGGGTAGCTTCCGGCAGTTTTTCTGTGTGAAGAATAACGGTCTCTAGACTTTGCCGCTCTGCAATGCACCATTTCAATTTATATAGAGGCCTTGGTCTAACACAGTTCATGCTGTGTTTCAGGGATTCAGAAACAGTATCAACATCAGAAAAACCTCATCTGCCAGGATTTTGAGACATTGATTTCTTTTTTCCTCTACATTCCATATCGTGCCTGGGGCAGACGGGCTCAGGATCAATACCCATTGTACAACTGTGCATTTATACGCTGAAAACCACTGATTGTGCTTTGGGGCTTCTTGCTCTGGATGTAGATAACAGTTCATTGAACTATCTTTGTTTCTTAGTGTAATTACAGAAATCATTGTCAAGTTACAATTTCTCAAAGGACACAGTACTGCACTGCTTGTAAATTGCGCTTTGGGGATACAGAAGATTTTGGCCTTTGGCCAACTGAGGATCTGCACCTCATGGAGGAGAAAAAGAGCACTGATTGGCATTCTCTTAATGGGGTTGGTTTAAGTAAAATCCACAGATTCAAAGTAATCAGAAATAAAATAGAGAAATCCCAGTTGACAATTATTGTTTTGTAGTTAGAATATTTCACATTTTTCTGACTGGCCGAACAGAGAGGAAGAGCAGATTAAAAGAATAATGAAAGTGGAAAAGCAAAGTCTAATTTTGTTTTCCCACATGTCCCAAGATCAGTGCAGGTGTTAGCTGTGCCGTCTGAAAGCGCACGGCGTCGTCAGGCGTTCTGATCTGTTCCATGAAAACACACAGGTGGCTGCAAGGCCGTTCTCAGACCGTGTAGCTTCTTGAGCCGGGAAGAGCTTACAAGAGAACAGCAGCTGCTGTCAGGCCTCTTCCCACTTGAATCTGACCCGGAGAAGCTCCCGGGTATCGACAGAGCAGTTTCAGGATCTCCCTCCAGCGCGCCATTGCAATGAATGTCTCACCAGCAGGTGCTGTTGGTGGTAAATCCTCCCAGGTGTGAGGTCTCGGTGGTCTCCCAGTGACCTGCGCTGGCGAGGGCCAGGGGAAAGCG